GTGCTGTCTCAGAGGTTAAGAACCCTGACTGCTCTTCCAGAGGTCCTGAGTTCAATTCCCACCAACCACATGGTGTCTCACAACCATCCTTTATGAGGTGCCCTCTTCTGGTGTGCAGATATACATGGGAGCAGAATGTTGTATACATAATAAATAAATAAAATCTTTAAAAAAAGATGTTAAAGGAAAAGATGAAGACACAAGAATAAAATCAGGAGGGTGAATCAGTCAATACTGAAATGCCACAAGTTCATTTTTTACCACTCTTATATACCTTAACCAAAAAGGGGAACATGATGTTATGCCCAGATTGCAGAACCCCAAAAATCCACCACTGAGGAAGTGACACACCAAATGTAAAAACACAGGTTTCTTTATGATTTGCAACTCGGACCCTGCCCTTTTGGGAACAAGCAGAGTGCCATTTTTTGTCTTTTGTTTTTTTTGGCTGAGGTTTTTTTTTTTTTAAATATTTTATTTATTTATTATTATACAACATTCCTCTTCCATGTATATCTGCACACCAGAAGAGGGCACCAGATCTCATAACGGATGGTTGTGAGCCAACATGTGGTTGCTGGGAATTGAACTCAGGACCTCTGGAAGAGCAGTCAGTGCTCTTAACCTCTGATCCATCTCTCCAGCCCCGGCTGAGGGTTTTTAAAGGGGAAAGTTCAAAAGACTGATGTCCTCAGATTACAGAGTTTTATGGTTACATAGGATGAAACAATAATTGTATGTTCAGGCAGGAAGCAATTAAGCAGGAAGCTGTAGAGGAAATAAGTTTGTTAATTATCTCCTGGGCAGGGACTTTTACAACTATGAATTGACAACTATCTATCTGATCTTCTTTAGGATGGAGAAATGTTGACACAGCTGGGGGGTGTTATCTGTTCCCAGGCCTCTGTACCCAGTTCTTTGTTTAGCCTTTTCTGTTGGGATGCCTTTTTGGGAACTCAGAGAGGCTTAAGAGTTTTCCTATTTGGGCTTTGGAGTCCAAGTTTTAGACTTTTATTAATTTTCCCATTTTACTCCTTTCAATGGTATCATGTATGCAGAACAAACCTTTTCTTCCTCTTTTCTCGAAGGGTTCAGTAACCACTCCTTAGATTCAACTTCTCCTTACTTAGCCTTGAGGGTCAGGAGTAACCACACCTCAGACCAGGTCTGTTGTTATTTATAATAAGACAGCCAGGCTGGAGAGATGGCTCAGTGGTTAAGAGCACCCTCTGCTCTTCTAGAGGGTCCTGAGTTCAATTCCCAGTAACCACAGCCATCTGTAATGAGATCTAGTGCCATCTTCTGGTCTGCAGGCAAACATGCAGGCAGAACACTGTAGACATAGTAAATTTATTATGTAGACATAATAAATAAATCTAAAATAAAAAATAAGACAGCCAAGGCCAAGTTCTAACACCCTTGTTAGGGGGAGGGACCTTTATGGGAGGAACACCCTCAGCCATGCCCTTGACCTTTAGGTCTTATGACTAAGGACAGTTTTGCCTTTGAGCCAAGTTGGGGTGCAGCCATCTTATGGGCACCAACAAATTCCCCCTTCTTAATTTAATTAATACCTGTGCTTCTGCTACAGGACAGATGACTGTGTCTGTCTTAGCTTGTCTTCTTCCACTTTCCAGCCTTACCTATCATCAGAACACACATTCTGTCATACGTGACCTGTCTTAGGTTTCCTGGAGGCAAAAAGATCTTACCCGTCTTTGACCAACAGCCTCTGTAATAAAAATGTTAGGGGATAGTGTGTAGCTTGATGTCATGCACCTCTGGGCCAACTTTTCATTGAGAGTTCACAAGCAAGCTTGATAATGCTGAGCAATACATATGCTTTTGTGGCTACAACATCTATTAAAGGAATAAAGGATGATGGAAATGAAATGGCCTTTTAAAATTGGTCTGGGATGTCTGGAGTAGCTTTAGATGTATCAAAATCTAAATCTGCCTTTTTAATTACATTGAATCTAATGACTCATAAGCATCATGTCAGATTCCTAACAGAAATGAGCTCTGACTTTTCATCCATTAACACTTACATAGTATGGCAAAGATTACAAACATTAATAATTCCAGTATGATTATTAACAATAGACACATAATTGGCAGGATTACAATTCTCATAATTTTAAATCAATCAAAGGACAGACAATAAAATGTTTTCATGGTAGGTGAAGTATGAATAACTCTGCAATTCTGAGCCTTTTCTTTTTCCCTCTCTTAAAGTCCAGTGCACTGCTGCTTGTAATTTCCAAAGATAAGTTTGAGACAATACAGTCCTTGAGTGCTGAATACCAGCTGCAAAACTTTTGTCCATCCCCTTTTCATATATTGAGGATTTTTTTGCCACATCATTTCTACAATAGTGTCCAATTGTCCTTCCCCAAGAGGAAGACTGGCAAAGAGGAGTTCTGTGTCCCAAGATGTAATGTGGATAAACAGCCAGACATTTCATTTCTTGTCAGGATCCAGGATAAAATTCACAGAAGTCTGGGAAGTTGATGCAGCAGGCTTGTTGAGAAACTGGAAGTCTCCAACCATAGTCTCTTTTCCTTCTCGGACTGAAGAAGGATGACATCAGAAGGCCAGGCACACAGCCTCAGCAGATCTCACTGGAATTCGTTTGGGCGGGTTCCGCAGTCACAGGTTCCTCTGCTCCACACACCTCACCAGGCATCTGGCAGCCACTGAGCCTCCTTTTCTTCCTTTGAGAAAACACAAATATGCCCTCAACACCATATTAAAACAGGAGTGGATTCTTTCCATAGTCTAGTGCAAGGAGCTTTCCATTTGGTTTGAGCAAAAGTCACTCGAGTTCTATCATGCCAGGATCTATCCGCGGCAGATTGCTCACGGGCATCCACATTCAGAAAATTTAAAATGCAGAGTGCGTGATTTAATGCATTATGTGGAGACTGGGGCACGACTCCCCTCTACTTAGTTTTTGAATTTGTTTTCAAAGTTCCATGGGCACGTCAATTGCATGCTCCGTTTGAGTCAGCGCTTGCCTAGCAGCTTTTGTGAGCTGTCTAGATGAACTAGGGTCACAACTGCCCTTAAGAATCTCACTGAGGGGGTCAAGATCCCCTGTAATCAATTTTAAATAGGATCATATTTCCCACTAATTTTTGAAAGGCATTTAAAGTTTGTAAATCATCTTTTCTAATCCAAGCTCTAAAGCTTTCATTAGCTGATATGGTCTCATTTGCATTCTCATGACACCTTTCTAGGTGGGCCCTAACAGAGAGGCAATTTCCTGGGGCTTCTTCTCAGTAACTTTTCTCAAATCTTGTATTAACCTCCATCCTCTATATTTCTTTTTTTTTTTAACCTCTCCTCTGCTAGGGGCTATCAAACCATCCATACAGGATCCTTGGGCTCTCGGGTCATGCTGGCTTTGGCCATTTTGAGCCGGTTGACTCAGGGGGTCTGCTGTGTGCCAATCTTTCCCGTTAAGACACTGTCTGATCTGGTGCCCTTTTTGACATACAAAGCAATTCAAGTAGTTCTTTTTGTTAGGATCCAGACATTCACAATCACAGTTCACACACGTGTGTGGCCACACCATACAGAACATGCATGCATCTTTAAGTCTTCCTCTTCCCTAGGTCATGATTAATTTGTGGAAATAAAGCATAATTGAAATTTCTTGTAATTCAGCAACTACAGCTAATCCTTGAGTTTCTGAGGGTCCAAAATCTGAACAAATTTGAATAAATTCATCTCTGTTGCCTTTCTTTCTTTAAGGTCTTAAAACAGTTTGACAGGCTGCATTAATTAGCATTTTCCATGCACTTGGTGGGGTGGTGGCCATGCAGCAGCCATGGCAGCAGCTCCCAAGGCTGAGGGCTTCTAGGCTTGGCCTTGCCTCATCTCGCCTTTGCTGTCTGGGCCTGGGCTGGCCCGCTGCAGGTCATCTGTGGCTGCAGCTGCTTGAAAAGTCAAAGGCCACCTTTGTAGCAACTCTGAGTTCTTGGCACCCTCAGGTCCTGCTGACCTAGAGGAGCATTTGAGACAGCTGCAGAAGTGACTTCTTCGAGGGGGAAGGACACTTAGATGGCTTACAAAT